ACGGGTGAAGCTAAATTCATTTGCAACATCTTTTTCTCTTCTTCAACAACTTCACGACCCTAAGACCGCCTCTCGCCTCCTCTCACAGTGCGTCTCATCCCGTCCTTCCTCGCCATTCCCCAAGATACGTGACCTCCTCAGCTCTTGGTGATCTACCATCCTAGTCCACTTCACCCAACTATTTGGCCCTGGTTACAGGATTCCACACACGGAGCCGCAAGTCTTCCTCCCTATTCGCCTTTGGGGTTTTGGCCTTCGTTCTTTCGCTTCCACAGCACCTCTCAGCTGCCTTTGGAGTTGGGCTCAGTTGCTTTCATTACTGTCCACACACTTCATCACGGACGGCTGGCCACTTTTCCGCCCCTTTCTCTCTTCTGACTCCATTCGCCGCCTAGACGAGTTATTCCAGCTGCCACTGCCATGCTCCCGAAAGAAGTTCGTGACCGTTTCCCTTCCTGGTCTCATCTCCTACCCGGCTACCCTCCCAACCTCTTCACACACCTCTTGCAATAACTTGAGGCTTCTTTGGTCAGGAAAGTCCGTGCAACTGTCACCTCTCCTATTCGCATGGCCCGTTTAACCTTCCTGCAGGGCCCGCATGCAAGGAACTGGCTTAATGCTGTCAAATGTCATATCTACTACAGTTTGTTTAGGCTGTAGTGGGGTAGTTACTATGGGGTACAGTAAGTTTAGGGTTTCCTACTAATACCCAACTCTTTCCTAGTTCAATCACTCTTGTTGATTATGACATGGTATCACGAGCCTAGGTTGCCACCTAGGACCGCTTACTACTACGGGCCCACTATTCCGCTAGAAGCGCCCTCGTGCGCCCTACCTTACGTGCGCCCTCGTGCGCCTTTTTCTGCTAGTGCGCCCTCGCGCGCCCCGCCCTTCGTTCTGCCCGCGCGCCATCCTGCAGCCCTCGCGCTGCCTCCTGCTGCCCTAGGCCAGTGCGCCGCCCCTGCAGGCTAGTAAGGCCCTCGAGCCACCCCTGCAGGCCCGTCAGGCCCCCGAGCCGCCTCTGCACGCCCGTCAGGCCCCCAAGCCGCCCCTGCAGGCCCTCGCCGCCTGCGCGCAGCCTCTGCCCGACCGCGCGCCGCCCCTGCAGGCCCTCGCCGCCCGCACGCAGCCTCTGCAGGCCCGTCAGGCCAGCGCGCGACCCCGTCAGGTCGCTGTCGCGGCCCCGTTTGGCCGCAGTCGCGGCCTCGCCTTGTCGCTGACGCGGCCCCACCCTGCGGCGGACGCGGCCCCGCCCTGCCGTGACACGGCCCCGCCAGCCCTGCAGCTGATGCGGCCGCGCCCTTCTGCTGACGCGGCCGCGCCCTTCTACTGACGCGGCCGCGCCCTGCTACTGACGCGGCCGCGCCCTGCTACTGACGCGGCCACGCCCAGCTGCTGACGCGTCGTCGCCCCCTGCCCGCCGCGTCGCCCTGCCCGCCGCGTCGGCCCCTGCCCGCGGCGTCGCCCTGCCCGCCGCGTCGCCATTGCCCGCGGCGTCGCCCCTGCCCGCCGCGTCGCCCTGCCCTACCCTGCGCCTGGCCCCTGGAGCAGCCGCCTCTGGAGCAGCCGCCACTGCAGCAGCCGCCCCTGGCCCCTGGAGCAGCGGCACCTGCAGCCGCCCCTGGCCCCTGGAGCGGCCGCCCCTGCAGCAGCCGCCCCTGGCCACTGGAGCAGCCGCCCCTGGAGCAGCCGCCCCTGGAGCAGCCGCCACTGCACCAGCCGCCCCTGGCCCCTGGAGCAGCCGCCCCTGCAGCAGCTGCCGTCGCGGCCCGGTCCTGCCCTGCAGCAACTGCCGCGGAGCTCCTTGCCGCGGTCGCGGCCCCGCCCTGCCGCTGTAGCGGCCCCGCAGTCGCCTCCGTCGTGCGCCTGCCCTTCCCACCACTGGTGAGCACTGCCCTGCCCGTGCTGCTACTGCTGCTCCTGCTGCTACTGCTTCTACTGCTGCTCCTGGCGTGGCCAGATGCAGCTCCAGGGCCGTCCGCGTGTGTCCCTCACGCCCCAGCAGCTTCGTGAGTGGTACGTCAGTTGGGGTTGTCGGGGTGGCAGTAGTGGGAGTCGTCCTGGAGTGGGTAGTTTGGGAGTTTCTTGTAGTGGCCCGGTGCAGCAGCAGCGTCGTCTGCGCGAGACTCGTTCGCCCCAGCAGCTTCGTGAGTGGTACGCTCAGAGTAGAGGGTCGCTGAGTACTGCTCGCTGCCCGTACGTTGTTAGCACGGGTGTCCGGACTGGTCAGCCTTGCGGGACGCCTGGTCACACAGAGTCTCGCTGCTTCGCCAGTCTGAGCGACGCTTGGCGTACAGAGTTTGGCGACGACGCTGAGCTCCCCGACTGGGTGGAGCTGCTTAGGCAGAGGGTAGATATCTTTGCTCTTGACTATGATGTTATTCTCACTGCAATGTATGCATTGTCTACTAGTGCCGAGGGAGCCTGTCACCTGTATGTGCTGCCTGACCCCGGTATCCAGTCTAATGCTCTAGGTGCCGGTGAGGCTGCTGCTCTAGGTGCTCGTGCGTCTCCTGCTCCAGGTGCTGGTGAGGCTGCTGCTCTAGGCGCTTGTGAGTCTGCTGCTTCAGGTGCTTGTGAGTCTGCGCCTTCAGGTACTACGTCTACTGAGGCACTGCACACCTTCACACTGGACTCAAGTGCTTCCCGCTACCTCCACCACTGCCCTCCCTTGTCCTGCTGTCCCGTCCGGCACACTGTCGGGCCTTTACCTCCCCTCGTTCTCTACGAACTTGGTGGCGGGTTCTGCGCTCCAGGACGTGGGTGTTCACCAGTTCACCCCTGCCTACGAGCGTGTGACACACTGCACGTGTGCCCAGACGGGTCGTCATATGGCTACCTTCACTCGGCAGCCGGGGTCGGACTTGTACACACTGACCACTGAGTCCCCTCAGGTAGCGGCGTCTGCGTCTGCGTCAGGTCAGTTGTCCACCCCCTGCTCGTGTCGCACCCTGTCGCACCAGACCGTCCTTTGGCACCACCGCCTTGGTTACCCCTCAGTGCAGCGCCTTCGTGGCATGCACTCCCGGTACCTTGTCTCTGGTCTTCCAAGGGTTCTCCCTCCCCTCCCACCCTCGCATGCTCCTCCCTGTCTTCCCTGTGTCGAGGGGCGGCAGCGCGCCACTCCTCACTCCTCCTCGTTCCCTCCCACAGAGGCTCCCCTGCAGACTCTCCACCTGGACGTGTGGGGCCCAGCCCGCGTCCGTGGACAGGGCCACGAGCGGTACTTCCTGCTGGTCGTCGACGACTACACGCGCTACACCACGGTCTTCCCCTTGCGCACCAAGGGTGAGGTCCCTGATGTTTTGATCCCCTGGATCCGCGCTGCTCGTCTCCAGCTCCGCGAGCGGTTCCATACGGACTTTCCCGTCCTGCGTCTGCACTCTGACAGGGGTGGTGAGTTTTCCTCTGACCTCTTGGCAGCCTACTGTGCGGAGCACGGCATCCGCCAGACGTTCACACTTCCGGCCTCTCCACAGCAGAATGGGGTTGCTGAGCGCCGCATTGGCTTAGTCATGGAGGTCGCTCGTACCTCCATGATCCATGCGGCTGCCCCCCATTTCCTGTGGCCGTTTGCAGTGCAGTATGCTGCGCATCAGCTCAACCTCTGGCCCCGTGTCTCTGCTCCGGAGACCTCGCCCACACTGCGTTGGACCGGGAAGGTTGGCGATGCGTCGGTGTTCCAGGTCTGGGGATGTCGAGCCTTTGTCCGCGATACGTCCGCGGACAAGCTCTCCTCCCGTGCCGTTCCCTATGTCTTCCTTGGCTTTGTCCCTGACGCGCCTGGCTGGCAGTTTTACCACCCCACCTCGCGCCGTGTCCTGCCCTATCAGGACGTCACGTTTGACGAGTCGGTCCCCTTTCACCGTCTCTTCCCCTACCGCACTGCCCCGCTCCCCCCTCCGCCGCTCTTCCTCACGCCAGGTGCTGCTTCGGTAGACCCCCTCCCTCCCCAGGGTCCTGCTCCCTCAGGTGTTTCCCAGGTAGACCCGGTCGAGCCTGTCGAGGTAGCTGTCGACTCTGGTCCTGCGCGAGGTACTGCGTCCGGGGGTGCTGAGACTGGGGGTGCTGAGTCTGGGGGTGCTGAGACTGGGGGTGCTGAGCCTAGGGGTGCTGAGACTGGGGGTGCTGAGCCTGGGGGTGCTGAGACTAGCGGTGCTGAGCCTGGGGGAGCTGAGACTGACCGTGCTGCACCTGGTGGCGCTCCCTCTTCACAGCAGCTGCGTGAGTGGTACTCTCTGCGTTGCAGCCTCCAGCGTGGGGCAGCTGGAGCAGGGGGTTCTGCCGGAGTTGGAGCTGGTGGTGCTGCGGGTGCTGTGTCGCGGCCGGAGCCTCCCTCCCCACAGCGGCTGCGTGAGTGGTACGCTCGACGCTGCAGCCTCCGGAGCGGTGCTCCTAGCGCTGGGGTGCCGCCCGCTGGAGGCCCTGGTGCTGCTGGAGGTACTGGAGCCTCTGGTCCTGGAGGTGCTCGTACAGGTGGTCCTGTAGCTGCTGGGACTGGGGGTTCTGCTGGAGCTGGAGCTGGAGCTGGTGCTACTGGAGGTGCTGCTGGTGCTGGAGCTGCTGGAGGTGCTGCTGGTGCTGGAGCTGCTGGAGGTGCTGCTGGTGCCGGAGTTGGAGCTGGAGGTGCTGGAGCTGCTGGAGCTGCTAGAGCTGCCGGTGGAGCTGAGGCCGCTGGGCCTACTGGTGTTGGTGTTGCAGGGGCTGGAACTGGAGGTGCTGACGCTCGTCCTCCTGCAGGTGCTGGAGCCGACGGTGCGGCTGGAGCTGGTGCTGCTGGGGGTACTGGAGTTGGCACTACTGGAGCTGCTGATGGTGCTACCGGAGTTGGAGCTGCTGCTGGGGGTTTTGGTGCTGTCTCTGCTGGTTCAAGGGGCGCTTCACGGCCGCGGCCGTACTTCGTTCCGCTCCTTCAGCAGGTTCTTGGTCAGCCGCCTCCTCCTTGTCCTGCTCCCTCCTTAGAGTGTCTTCCGCCTGTCCAGTCGCAGTCATAGTTACAGCCTGCCTCGCCACTCCCTGGTCCTTCTCCCTACACTGGTCCGACAGGAGGTCTTACGGAGCGTCGTGAGCCTGCGTCTCGTCCTGTGTCGCCTGAGTCTCGTCCTGCGTCGCCTGTTCGTGCTGCTCGCACTGGTCGTCGTGTCCCACGTCAGCGTCCTCCTGCTGTCCCGGGCACTCACCAGATGACGCTTCGTCCTTCCACTGCTCCACAACGTGTCCCTCTGCCTTCTCCTCCTGCGTCCTCCCTTCCTGCCCTTGCTGACCCGGAGTCTGACTCTCTTCGTGCTGCTAGTCCTACTGTCACGCGTCTCCCGGCCACGGCTTTCACTAACCCTTCCTTTGAGTCTGCTGCTGCGTTTGCCTTAGTTGCTGAGCTTGTCGACTTTGCTGCTCACTGGCATCTAGACTAGGCTGCGAGTCTTGTTGCTAAGTCTGAGACTGTCTGTCCTCCGTCCGTCGGGGGTGAGTGTGCTCTTGGCACGGACGTCCTTGAGGACAGGCAGGAGGAGTTTGAGTGCTTTGCCGCTGCTGTACCTCATCTCGTGTCCATGCTGATTGCACCTGAGGGAGACCCGGATGCACCAGACATCCCGACCCCGCGCTCTTACGCTGAGGCGATCGCGGGTGAGTACTCCTCTCAGTGGCAATCAGCCATGGACGCAGAGATGGCATCCTGGAAGTCCACTGGCACTTACGTCGACGAGGTTCCCCCTCCTGGGGCGAACATCGTCAGTGGCATGTGGATTTTCAGGGTGAAGCGGCCGCCGGGTTCTCCGCCTGTCTTCAAGGCTCGTTACGTTGCTCGAGGCTTCAGTCAGCGAGAGGGAGTAGACTTCTTCCAGACCTTCTCCCCCACCCCGAAGATGACCACTCTTCGGGTGCTACTGCACGTTGCCGCTCAGCGTGACTACAAGCTTCACTCTCTTGACTTCAGCACAGCTTTCTTGCAGGGCAGCCTGCACGAGGAGATCTGGCTGCGTCGCCCGCCTGGCTTCACTGGGTCGTTTCCTCTTGTCACCCAGTGGAGCCTCCGGCGGCCGGTCTACGGTCTCCGCCAGGCGCCACGTGAGTGGCACGACACACTGAGGACTACACTTGCGGCCCTTGGGTTCGCGCCCTCTACTGCTGACCCGTCGCTGTTTCTGCGCACCGACACTTCGCTGCCGCCGTTCTACATCCTCGTGTACGTCGACGACTTGGTCCTTGCCACTGCTGACACTGAGGCTCTCGCCCTGGTGAAGTCGGAGCTGCAGAAGAGACACACGTGCACAGACATGGGTGAGCTGCGCAACTACGTTGGCTTGCAGATCACCCGGGACAGAGCACGCCGCACCATCACACTGACTCAGTCACACATGGTGCAGCAGGTCCTTCAGCGCTTCGGCTTTACCTGGTCCTCGGCACAGGCCACTCCTCTGGCTACAGGTCACTCGCTCTCAGCTCCACCTTCGGACGAGTCCGTAGAGCCGAGTGGTCCTTACCCAGAGCTAGTTGGCTGCCTCATGTACCTGATGACTTGCGCTCGTCCTGACCTCGCGTACCCTCTTGGCCTTCTGGCTCGCTACGTGGCTCCTGGTCAGCACCAAAAGGCGCACTGGGATGCTGCTAAGAGGGTATTCCGCTACTTGTGCAGTACATCAGGCATGGGGCTCGTGCTTGGAGGGAGGAGCTCAGTTGTCCTCACTGGGCACTCAGACGCTTCTTGGGTTGACGACCAGGCTACTCAGCGGTCGTCACAGGGTTACACCTTCAGTCTTGGCTCTGGCTCTGTCTCCTGGCGTTCTACACGTTCGTCTTCAGTTCTCAGCTCCAGTTGTGAGGCTGAGATCCACGCCACAGCCATGGCTGCACAGGAGTTACGCTAGCTCACCTACCTGCTGACCGACCTGGGAGAGCGGCCTCGTTCTCCTCCAGTGCTGTACGTCGACAACAAGGCTGCCATTGCCTTGTGTGAGGAGCACAGACTGGAGCATAGAACGAAGCACATCGCTCTGCGTTACTTCCTGGCTCGAGAGTTGCAGCAGCATGGTCAGCTTCGTCTGCGTTACGTGGCCACTCGGGCCAACACTGTTGATATATTCACCAAGGCACTTCAGTCTGGTGATCATCAGCGTTTCTGCACTGTGCTAGGGCTTGTGCCCACTTTTCCTCACTTGCTGTAGGCTTTACTTGTACTGTGATCTATATATATGTACTTGCATGCTTGCTTTGCTAGGTGGAGATCACTGTGATGTTTTTGTTACATATATGCCTCTGCATGTGAACTGGCTTTGTGGCCCTTTGCTTGTGCTCAGTGAGTGTGGTGACATTGTGATCTACCCTGAGCTTGCTTTGCCTTTCTTGAATGGTCTTGTGACCCCTATCTCTCCCCCACTTTGCCTATGGGGGTGTGTCAAATGTCATATCTACTACAGTTTTTTTAGGCTGTAGGGGGTAGTTACTATGGGGTACAATAAGTTTAGGGTTTCCTACTTGTACCCAGTCTTTCCTAGTTCAATCACTCTTGTTGATTATGACAAATACGTCTCCTTCTTCGCCTCGGTTGCAGCTCACCGAATCCAAATGGCGCATCGCTGCTGCCATCCGCCTTGGCCTCCCCATTCCTCACCTTAGTTCGGTTGAATCTTGCGCTTGTAGACAATCCCTCTCAGACTTTTCCCTTCCATCCCATGCCCTTCTTTGCCCAAAGAACTGCGGAGATAACTTAATCAACGAGAGCTAGACTACGGGCTAGGCACGGGGCAAGAGTGCTCTCTGCGTTCGTTTGTTCCTTAGTCGTTTGCAAGTGTTCGCACTACTTGCTAGTTCATAGGGAGAGCTGGCAAGAGTTTCACTAGGAAAATATGACAACAATAGTTCAGAATAATAGCAACATGTCAGAATCCCAACCACTAGACCATTGGGATAAATGGGCTTGTTCAGTAGCGGGTCAGTGCGCCCATAACCCCCCAGGCCAGCATGCCTGTAACCCTTCCCTAGAATCAATCGGGGATCACCAGTGGACATCTGACACAACAACCCTGGCAAGAATGACTACATCAGAGATAGCATGCGTCGGTCGACTACAAGCACAACACGTCGACCGCGTTCCAGCACGACTTGGTTGACTGCGCTCCAGCAGTGCAGAGTCGCGGCTTGTCAGCTTTGTAGGTCGACGGCGTGCCAACATCACAAGTCGAAGGCATGCCAACGTCGCATCCGCGGGACGGCAACGCACCCGCTTCACATATGCTCGCAGATGGTTGGTGTGTCGTGCCCCGTCACATGCACAACGCACACACCAAATCGTCCTTGTGCTGACAACTGCACCTTATCAGCTACTTCGACCTCGGGATACCACCACCGAGGTCGGTCTCGCCAAAACCACCTGGGCGACCGTCGCACTCCTTCGCAGAACCTCGTCACCTAGGTAACCTGGTCAACCGAGCAACCACGTTGACCAGCTGCTCCTTCACGTGCCCGTCGACCAACCAAGTCGACGACCACCTCTGGTCGACCTCACTAGGTCGACCACACCCTTGGTCGACCAGCTCCATGTCGACCAGCACACCTGTCAGCCGACCACATCTAGTCGGCTTCCCCTGGTCGGCGTCACCCAAGTCGACGCCATCCATAGGTCGACCGCCCAAGTCGTCCTCCCAAAGTCGGTGCCCATGCAGTGGCCCCCGTGCAGGTCGACCAGCCCCGTCGACCAACTCGCCCACTGCTACAGGTCGGCTGCACCTCCCACACACCCGACCATGAGGTCGGCTCCGCCCAAGCGAGGACGGGGCCTACCACAACTCCCGTTGACAAGAACAATGCGCAAACTCAAGTGCTTGATGCCATCAAGCACGAGCTGCACCACATCACTTTGGAGCTCAGCCTCGTGGCACAGCTGGAAAACCACTACCTCCTTCCAGGCCGCCGACCCGACATGACCTGCAAAAATGTCCAAGCCGGCACCACCTTTAAGTAGCTGATCCGCAGCACGCGAAATTGAAAAGGCAACACTATACGCATCATCTCCGCATGCTCGACCCAACGAAGGCAACACTATACGCATCATCTCCGCCTGCTCGACCCAACGTCAAGCTGCTTCCGTTGGCTCTCGAGACTTTAGGTGATTCGGGAAAACATTCTAGGATTTTCTCAAAGATTGTAGCCGCCGTGAAGCATAACGCCTTCGTGACATGATTGGCTCTTCCGACCTCCTTCTGCAGCTCTTCGAAACCAACTTCTACAAGCACATCTCCCTAGTCCACTAGTGCGAGAGGGCCCGCACAATCTGCAAGCGGGCACAGGCTCGGTTCACGGTTGATACCAACATCACCCCTTTGCAGGTTACCCCTCCGTCAGCGGTAGAGTTTGCGTACATGGGGAATGATTTTTGAATCGCTTAGACGTGGGGAACATTGTTTCATTTGTGTAGCTTCTCTTAGGTAGCACCATAGACCTTATGGCTCATGTACCTTTGTACCCTTTATATTGTTAATTCTTGGAACACAAAGTTTTGCTTTTGCATGGCACCCATGCAAGGGAGAACATAAGAGGGGCCTAAGGACATGTAAAATTGTAATGACCAACGATATGGTCGACCATTTGCGTAACTCGTAAGCAAACCCCGCCCACATTCCGCCAGAATGTGGGGAAAACACATAAGACCACCCCCATTAGTCGAAAAGATATGTTTGATTCCTATTACTGCATTCGAACAAGGATTAGAATATAGGTGAACATATTCGATGGAAATACAAATAGTCTAAAAAAATTCCTCCGTCGAGGGAAGAATGTGGTGCGTACATTACTATGCAAGAAATCCATTGAAAATCGGTGAAGGAGGAGTGACTATTTTGTAGTGCCCATTTGTGAATGTAACCCTAATCTTTCGCAATCGTCAAAACCGCCAAAATGTTTGACCATTTACCTTGGTTGCTTTCTCGCCTTAAGAGTAGCAGTATAGTGGCCAGCCGGGGGCCTCGTGAATCGTGCCCCTACAATGTACACCTCTCCCTCACCAATTGTATACCCCCCTCCCTCATCCAATTTCAACACCGTTATCCTCACCTGTTGCTTCAGGCCGAAAGCGGTTTGAAAATACTGTGCGTATGACGTGGTGACTGCACAGTGGGGCCAATGCACTTTCCAACCTGACCTTCTGACGCGCCAGAATGTCAGGTACTTTTGGGATTATGTAGCGGTGGTTTTATTTCTTAAGCGAAATCCCACGCATAGGGGTATGAAAACGGCGTGGCTAAGTTTTTACGGTCCAAGCAACGTCTTAGTTTGTGAAAAAAAAAAAAAAAGGGAGGGGGGGGGGGGGGGTTGAGGGCTCACGTCCCACTTGATACCATTCAGGAGTCACTCCAAACAGCCACACTAACAGAAACAGAGGGAATCAGGAGTCACTTAAAGCCGGGATCTCAAGTAG